ATACTGGGTTTTGGTTTTAATACTTGTATTAACAAGGTCAGCAAACTGAAGCATTTTGAAAGTAGATGACCTGTGAGCACACTGGTATTAATTTCATTAATATCATTAATGTAATTTGGTATCTTTTCCTCTCCCCTCCCCACATGAAAATGCTGTGGGCAGTTTTATATATACCAGTATCTAGGCAGATGCAAGTACCCACAGGGAGGCAAGCCGCTGGTTTTGGTTTTTGGTTACTATATTCCTTCTGCTGTCCAAAATCCCAGTACAGTTTATGTATTTTGGGAGCAGCTGTATTACTGTTGCCGGTGATGGGCCACTTCACTCAGCAAATGAACCAGATCATTTCAATACCCATCTTTTATCCAGCCTTTTAGAACTCAAAAAAAAAAAACCAGTGAAACCAGTGTGAGCTACTCATGTATAAAACCACACTAAGTTTACTGGTAGATCTGGAATCCTGCCCAGGATCTGCTTAGGGACTGGTTCCTTTAGGTGTATTTTAAGTGCCACTGGCAGATTTTATGATTGCGCCCTAGAGAAGGAAAGGGGGTGCTTTATTTGAATGTTTTTATGGCTTTTGTTCTAAGGAGAACCCAATCCCGCATGTTCTCTGCCTGCTTTGAACAGTTCTCAACCCTTCACGGCCTTGAGGTGGAATGCAAATGGCACTTGCTACAGTGTGAGCAGAGGAACTTGCTGTTCTTTTTTTTTTTTCCGTATTTCAGACCAAGGTTGGTGGGACAAGCAACACAGGGGGCAGTTTTGAAGAAGTTCTCAGCTCTACAGCCCATGCCAGCGCTCAGAGCTCTCTTGCTGGCACCCGAGTTCCTGAGAGTGAAGAAGAGCTTCAGTGTTAGACCGCAGTGCTCCTGAGCCTCACAGGCCTCTCTGAAGAGACTTGCCCAGCCAGTGAGTTTCAGACCTCTCCCACCACCCAACTTGTGCAACCAGGTTTTGTCAGTTGCCTTCCTGGCCTTGCACTGGAGAAACTTTTCCTATTTGTATTTTTGATGGGCCATTTTATCATCAGGTACTTTGTACACCATAGAAACCACATGCAAGTCACTGACTGAAATGCTCTAAATACTACGTTATGTGACCAAAAGAGCTTTCATTTAACTTCCCTCCAACGCTCCCCCAGTTTGTTTCTTTAGTTCAGTTTTCTGTTGGTTTCCAACTCCCCTCTCAGTGCCATATCAGACAGATGGACCCAGAGCTGTGCAATGATTCCTACTGCCAGCATGAGTCCCTATACCAGCCGCCTACCAGGTGTACCACGTGCCCTTTGATCAGGAGTGTCTGTACATGGTCTATTTCCTAACAGAATTAAAATCACTTACTGTCACAAAAGGTTTTTTTCTCTTTCACTGGTACAGCCTGGTGTTGCCCTCCACCCATTAGTCAGCAGAGTTGAGTAAGACAGGAGGAGACACCTTAGTAATTCATATGAAAACTGTATTGATCACAAGGTGGTCACTGTAACTGGAAAAGCTTCAGTTTTAAAATTACCATTGCTTGCTCTCTGGTTTGCTAAGACTTGACAGTATAAATTAATTACAGAAGGAGGTGGGGTGGAGGGAACCTCTAATATTTTTGCCTCCATCTCTTCAAATAATAAGGGATTTATAAGCCTCAGTCAAAACACAGCCTTAAGTGAAAGAATACAAACCCAACACTTGGCGTAAGATGTGCCATAGGTTAGGGCACCCATGCCTTCGGCCCACGTTCCAGAGCTGCTAGCATAAAATTGTTACAACACCCAGGATGAATAGGGACTTTACTCTTGGTGTCACATTTTGTCATGCTTCACTGCAGGTCATAATCCCACCTACCACATTATATCTATCTGCCTGATCACCAGAAGCCAGCCATCTCTCAGCTTTGATTGATTCAGCATGTTTGCTTGCATCCTTTTAACATTTTTCCTTAGTGCAGCACACTTGTGACACTCCCTTGCTGTCTAGTGAGCACGTGACAGTCTGCATGTTGCATTATTCGGTTCACCAGACTGAGATGAGCACAGTAAAGTATAAACAAGAGGGAAAAGAGTCTGGCTACTTTCAAAATGGATGTGGATTTTTAGCATAGCCAAAGCTTCAAATCAGTGTTAGTGAGTGTGAAGTTACAGACTGCTTAAAATCTTGTGAGAAAAGTTGGCTTTAAGTGATTTTTTTCCCCGCGTGGCTTTTGTTATAGTTTATGCAGAGTTGGAAATCCTTTTGTAATGTTCTACGGGACATAAGTTAACTTTGGACATTTATATCAAATGCCTCTTTAGTGTGATTTTTAGCATGGAAGCAAATCTAATTAGTATTTTGTAGTTCAGGTTTCTTGTGACAATTTGCTAGCTTATTTTAAGTGGGTTTGTGCATAAACATGAATTTATTTAACTAAAGAAGATACTCCTGGTCTATTTTGTGTAAATTAAGTTATTGATATTCTTATTAAAAATAAATTCTCTCTTGCACTTTGTGATGTTTTCTTTCCAGTTCTGTGTCTCTACCAGTCTTACTGTGCATCTCTAAGCACTGCAGTTTACCTTGATACTCTGGTGACATAGCAAAACTTCATTCCTAGTTTTTTAAATCTGTTCAGTTCCTCCTGGCCCTGAAATTCCCCATGAAAGTGTCATCTAAGTTTTGAAAATGTCAAGGTTCAAAGGAGAAAAATAATTGTTCAGTAAAAGTGAAGCACAGGGTAGAAAACATCTTCTAGGTCTATGACCTTGTTTTGAGCAGGGACAGCAGCTAAACCAAAATTAGAACATGGAGTTCAAGGACTGTCACCTTCTACAGAACATCAGTCTAGACCTCATTTTAGTTACATATTTATGTATGTGTATATATATACACATAGACAAATGCTTATGGAAAAGCAGTATATTGCTTTTAACTACATTTAGTAAGAGCGTAATTCAAAAAGCTTGTGTAGGACCAGACAAGCTTGGTCAGACGAGCTTCTCTTCCACAGCAATCCTTAACACATTATTGTCACTACAGCAGCTGCCACTATGCGTAAGGTTGATGCTGATACGAACAGATCAGGAGAGGAGGTGGTCTCCCCTCACAGGTGGCATGGGCAGGGCTTGGTACACTTCTACACGTGAACAGTGCATTTCATACCACCTGAAGCCTCACTTCATGAGCCCTCATGGTTCATACTTTATAAGCATGCTTTCTTCTCCAGCCTCTTTCCGGCTAGCTCCCTCATTCTGTTAAAATGCAGTGCCCAAACCTAACATATGATTAGAGCTGCAGCAAGTAGACAGGAATGTAATTGTACATGAAGCACCCGCTGGATTTGTTCAAACAAAACCAAACCCTACCCAACTCACACTCAAACCACGTCTCTGTGTTCCAGGCTGGTATTTACCTTTCTTGCACCACTGTGCAGCTGGTTGGGCCCAGCATGCCATCCTTCCCCTGGATCCCCTGCATAGCAGCACATTGCCAGCCACTAAAGCCTCCTGTAGTATTGGAGGAACAGACTGGTCCTCCTGGGGTAGCACACATGCTGTGTGGCTTTCTGTCAAACACCTCGTTTAAGGCCACTTGTTCTCATTTCTGTCTTCTAATGCATCTGTAGCTCTTTCATGCCTGGCATTCAGTGCAAGCTAATGGTGTCTATGATTTGTATGCTTCTCAGTGGAATAAAATCACTAAAGCTTCACAAGCCCCACTCCATCACCCCTGTGGTCTAACAATCAGCCACTGATAACCACTAATCAGTTTTCTATTGCTTAGTAAAGCTCATCTTGTTCTTCTGGGGTTCCCACAGGGCACAACTGCTGCCTTGTGGGGTTTCTTGTGCAGAGCGGGCATCCCACATCTCAGCTGGACCAACATGTTCTGCAAATTCTGTGCACAGTGCCAGCCACCAAGGCATGAGCTCCCACCAGCTCTGCACCAGCTGCAGAACACAGCACAAGCGTGGGGCAGGCCCCTGACGTTTGTGTAAAGGAGACGTTTCCAAGTCACGGTGCCTGAAGGTGTGTGCTCAGCTACATTACCTACCTTTAAAAGGGGATGGCACTGAATTTAGTTTTATGCTGCCTCATTTGACACGTGGCTGAAGGCAAGCAAGCTAGCTCTGGGTCTTTACCATGTCATTTTTCCTTATCTAGTAACTGTGGCATCACCCTAGTCTCCAGCTGCACACATGACGCAACAGTTAGTAGCGCAGACACTTGGCCTCATGATGGCATTTGCCACGACTACAGCTTTACTTGATAACCATACGGTACTTTTACATTAGCGTTATTACTTCCACTAAAAACTGTCACAGCCTGAACAGGGGCAGCCAGCGCTTTTGCATTAGACTCCGCAAACTCAAAATATTGCTCCCAACCTTGGCTATTCTGTGGTTACCAGATGATACCTGTGGCAAGAGTCTCTAGAACTGCCCATCTGGGGTAAGGAGTGTCAGGAGTACTGGCCTTCCAGAAACATCAGCACCGTTCCCTGATACAACACATGAACAGTGGAAAAACTGCATGAAACAGAAGCATTGAGAAAATTAATTAATGAGATTACCAGTTTTATCCACCATCACTTCTTAAGGCTTATGCACTCCAAAGAAATCTCATTGCTAAGTCTGGCTCTGCCAAGAGCTTCTTGAGAAACACGCTTTATTGGTCTTCACTTCTGTGTAGTGCAATGAACAAATATTATCCTATCTGATACAGATGGAACTTAAATGCAGACATACTGATGAGTCACAGAACAGGACTGCCTGTCCCAGTCAGTGCACTACATGAATAGATTAGGTTGCAATCAGCTGATTTTTAAACTTACCCGAAATTCCCCAGTGCAGAATCTATTTGTAACTAGGACTGCATCAACCAGAGGCTACATCTGGTCTACAACACAAACTCTGACCCAGGAGGTAACTGTCCTACCTGCTCCTATCTAAGTGGTCCTGGAATTCTCAACAGTAAATGCATGGAATAAAAATCTGCCGGAAGAATTAGCAATTAGGAGAAAATACAACACATGGAATATAAAACAAAGTATTTATTATAGCTAAAGTGTTTAGGAGCACCTCAGGAATGTGGAGGAGACGTAGCAGCTATTTTTTTATTCCTTTCTGTGTTGATCAGAGATACAAGCTGGAGTATTTCAGGGTGAACAAACTTCCCTGCAAAACAGAAGAAAGGGAAAGTTAGTTTAAAATGTTCTCATTTTCCTGTGCGCGAAAGGTTGGCAGTGAAACGTTAGCAGTGACATTGCTTTAGGCTCAGAATAAATATCAAGTACTCCCAGTTTAATCCACCCACGGAATGCCCAAGAGTAGTCACAGTCCTTCACCCAAAAACTTATAAAAATACTTTGTGCTCCATTAAGACCATTAAGAGCTGAAAAGGGGACGTACCCTGACCAAGACAATCCCATACTGTGTATTCTGCTACAGAAAACCACCCCAGTTACAGGTGCCCTTAGGGCACGTGCTGCAGGTTCTACTGAGACACCAGCTCAGTTTAAGTTACTGAATTATGGTAGGAGGGCAAAGTTGTCAATTATAAAATTAAGTACTCCAGCTTTGTTGATGTTGTTCTTTTTTCCCTTCTTCCCTAATCAAATTAATGCATTTTTCAGAGAGCTTATTATTTCTGAGGAGTCACCAAGGTACAAATGGGACTTGTCCCAGACTGACTGGTGACTACTGTCTGTCCCTAATTTTTTGCCAGGACAGGATGACTTGGAGCCACAGTCCTCTTCTGGTGTTCAACTCCCTTGCTAACACAGTAAAGACTATTTTACCTGTTTTTCCTTTCAACTATCAGTTTATTTTGAGAAGGACAAAAAGCAGTGGATAGAATAAAAGGTGATATGTTTGCACCTAAAACATTTCACTGAGCTGGTTCTCACATGTACCTCATACAGACCACACAAGACCACAGCTCATGGAGGGATAACAAGTTCTACTTCACTGGTTCATGAAACACTAACAAATTAGATACAAGCTGCTGCCAGTGCATCGGTGAAGCCTCCAGCCTCTACTATACCCTCTTCTGGTATTACAGGGAGGTACCTAAACGTATGTGAGTGTAACGAAAGGTAAAGAGTGATGTAAAAGGAACTTGGCATAAATGAAATTCAGGTTCAATACCTATATATAAAAGTAAGGTATCTTCATTCTGCATTAAGTTTCCCCATAAGTGTTTAAAGTACTTGAGCAACGAGTGAAATAATCAGCTCTCACTTGCTCTGAACATCTATCTGAAAAAAGGCAATTTGTATATTTAATTTACAAAAGAAAAAGAAAAAAACAACCCAAAAAAGCCCAAATGTCATACCAGCAGTTGAATCGTAAAAATCCTGCAGTCTGCCAGGTGTGTTTTCCAGCTCTTCATATTCAAATGCTTGCAGTATCATCTCGCACTGATCCAACTGCTTTACAAACTTGGCTTCTGCAGTACGCTGGTTTTCATATTCCTGAACAGATTTGCAGTTATGAGACAAAAAAATTTGTTGTTCTGAAACAGAATATTAGAAGCTCTTTATATATCTAGAATCTTCTTCATCAGTACAAGCCACTCCATAAATATTCATGATAGTTAGTTCTTTCTAAGATTGCTTTTTAAGACTACCTTCACCCACTTGCAGAACAGTTGAAATAAGTATGTCTCGAATTTTTATTCGATATAACGGGACTTAACACGATTCTTTCTCATGTCTTAACTCTAAACATACCAAGCATTTTGGCTGAATCAGGGATGATATGGAGACAACCTTAAACAATATGTAAGTTCAATAATAGGTTCCATTTAACAACAGTTTCATAGAAAGACCTTTTCAGGCCAAGCTAAGGCCATCAATCACCAGAATGTGTACCTATGCATTACCATTACTGGGTTTTAAGGCCTATTTTTTACTTTTCTCCACTACTTGCTGGTTTTGCAAGGAGTTTTTCTTTACATTTCTCCTGTCATTCCTTTTTATCTCTCTGGTCTAATCTGCCTGAGCTGCATATGTCTTTCCTAGACGATAGGAAGGGGATTTGTTTATGGATTTCCTCCCCTTCAGACTTTAAGTCCTTTAATCTCTCTGCTATCTTTTCCCTCTCTCCAGTTACCATGAGTATGAATATTATGTATTCACATTTCTAGACAACTTGAACAGTTTTGCTGTCATTTGCTTCCTGTGATGGCTGCAGACAGGTCTGCCATTTCATTTTCTCTTTTCTAAATCTACTGCATTTTCTTGATCTCTCATCATCTGGTCTTCTCCCGACTCCCAAGGAGTCGGAGTTTCCCAACAGGAAAAGGCTTCTTTCTGTGCAGGTTACCATCACCTTGATACCTTCAGCAGGTCTAATGCCATCCATCACCACCACCAATAATCAGACCAGAGGCTGATTAACCACCACTAACCACACCAAGCCCATCTGTGCTTTCAGAGCCACCCAACCTATGACACAGTCATTCTGCAGGCAAGAGAAGCACAACTGCAGAAGAGCTGTTCCTACTGACCAAAGCACATGGCATCCCTTTCTGCGCCTTAAAACAACAACTGTGGGTGTGGGTGCCACTCACAGTGGGAAGATCCTCAGTTGTAACTTCCAGCACAGCGATACTCAGGTAAGTGTGACTGACTGCTATTAGGAGCCTGTTCTTACGCTTATTGCTTTACACTTGAAAGTCAGAAATCCAGACTTTGATAGCCATGATTGATTCATATACCACCCTATTTGGATTTGAATGATGCTTTACATTTTCAGTTACATTTAGATCATTTTTCCAGTAGTCAATTTCATTTTTACATTTTAAACTCCTTTTCCTCTTTTCAGTCTCAGCTTTGCCTTATCTTTAAATTTTGTTTAAATACTACTACTTATTTTCTTAATACTATTCATAATTCTTTTTTTGGCTACTAAAAAAAAAAACAAACAAACCCAACTCTTGGCACCACTACAAAGGAGAACTTTAGGAAAAGAACTATGGCTGTTTGCCTATAAAGGTCTATCCCACCTTCAGAAATTAACTGGGAGTATCGATCTGTTATCAACCTCTTTGTGCCATACAACCCACCAGACTTTTTTCATGCCTCAGCTCACATTAACCTCAAGAAACAGCAGCTATTATATGTGCTACTGTGCAGTGCTGAAATAAATACTTACTGTTTCCTCCCTGCAGGTGTTTAAGAGGGCGAAAAAACAGTAAGCTTTGGAAAAACAGCAACTGGTCTCTCTAACACCACAGTCTGTCTTTTAAAATTCACTCCTGTGCTTTTGCTCTTGAACACAAAGAAGCAGGACACGGCTGAAACGTGCCAATTCTTTTTCTTTAATGTTTTTTAAAAAATAATTCTGCATTTATTTATAAAGTCAAAATACATTGGAGGCATCTTTCTGCCACCTTCCTACCCTCCAGCAGGCCTGCAGAGGGCCTGTCAATCCAGTCCAAAGCAACAGACCTTGTAAGGCTGAAAGGGAAAGAAGGGCAGAGACAAAGCTGAAAGGGAAACAGGCACAGAGATGAGGGCAGAGCAGTGCAGGAGCTTGCTAAGAGTGTCAGTGGATCCTGTTCCAGCCACTGCTCGGCTCTGGGCCGTAACTTCCTTCACTCATAAAAAGAAATCAGAGGGAAATGCCTGTGGCCAGCTGAGAGCAGAGTATCAACACCAACTGATCAGAGGCTTCTGTTTTCTGCATTTTTTCTTCCTTTTTCTTTTTAATAAGCACCTAGTTGTTCCACTTAAAATAAGACCAGAGGGACTATATGTGAATAATAGATTTTTAGGTTACACTTGCTGCCATATGGGTTACAATCATCCTACTGCATTAGAGACTCAATGCCAACAAATGATCCTGAAGGTAGAAACAAAGAACAAATTATAAAAAGCATGCATATGTTAACTTACAGTTAATGAGAATGATAAAAAGCTAACGTGCTGAAGAACTAACTGTATACTGAACCAGCTCTATACCATCAGAAGAGCAGAGTGGGGCAAAGGAAAATAACATATGCAAAAAAAAAAATCCTGCAGGACTAATTTTATCAAAACCTCCTTTTCCTCAATTATAACACCGTTCCAAAAGAGAAGAAACCAGTACTCACTAAACAAATGCACACACATTATCTCCCGGATCTGGTTATGCTGACTTGCCCCCTACACCTTGAATGGCAACAATGAAAACCCATCCCATTGCCAGTTTCACCACAACTAGAAAGAAAAGAAACACACCCCAACAAACAGAGTGCTGTAACAAAAGGCAGAAATTGGCTGCAAATATCTCAAATTTAATAACAGTCAAAGTAAAAAACTAAGAGTATCAGCATAAAATACAGTTTCAGGTCAGAGAGTCCAAGAAACATATAATGCTTTGTTTGCAGCAACATGTGAACAAGAGATCATAGATACATTGTCCTCATACAACTGTATGGCAGGACAAGACTAAGCACAATAATTAATCTATGATTCTATCTTGAATTGTCTGGAGATAATCTTATCTTCCCTGGTTTTCAAGCGTAAATATCCTAATTAACAGCATGAGTTCAAATCAAAAAGTTAAATCACCTTCAAATACAGAAGATACTTTCTAGAACAAACATTTTAAGGTACCCAGACCAGCAAGTAACTGGTGCTGTTTGTAGAAAAGCACTCTTCTGAGTCAGCACACTACATTTAAGTTTAAACTAGAAGTTACTACTAAATATTTTAGCCTAATGAGCTGCATAAGAAAGAAATGGAAGACACATTCTTTGCATAAAAAGCAGAAAATACTCTGTAACATCAACTTCTCCCATTATTTTTTCTGTATTAAAAGATCATGGACTACAAATGGCCAGATGTGAACAAGAGAGATACTGCAGTAAGAAAACAGATTTATATTCAAGAGGGCTGGATGTAGAGGACAAAACCTTCCTTCTATTGTACAAAGTCCTGGACAGGTTAACCACCTTAGACCATGACACGGGTCCACCTGGAGCTTTGCAAAGCCAAAGGTAGAACCTGGTTATTTTACAAAAGTTTGGGATTTCTGTTTCAAGAGGATTCCAAAGTGACTCTGACTCATACCATTAGCTTTACTTCCCAAGCAAATGAATCTATGTTGCTTGAGGTCAAAAGAAAAGATGACACTGTTTCAGAGGCGAACAGAAAAAGGACAAGGAGTCACTTAATTTTAGCAAAGGTTTAAAAGAATGCAAACTTACTTCCCAGAGTTCATAGATTTCTTTTCTGAGCTCCTCTGATAGAAGCTGGGTCAGTTGTTGCATAGCTGCCTGGAAAAAAAAAAATAATAAAAAGCTATTTCTATTTATCCATTTTTTGAGCAAGCATATCACTCCCCCACCTCCCCCCACCCCAAAGAATTAACTATTTGGTACCAAGTTTGTAGAAACATACACTGTACAGTATATTATTGTATTTGGTTTGCATGGCCAGGTGGTAGAGTGGGGGGATATAGGGAAGGCTTCTGTAAGAAGCTGCTAGAAGCTTCCCCTCTGTCCAACAGAGCCAATGCCAGACACCTCCAAGATGGATCCACTGCTGGCCAAGGCCAAGCCCAAAAGCTTTATCCCCTTGGGATAACATATTTAAAGGGGGAAAAGTTACTCTGCAGAAACAACTGTAGCTGGGGAAAGGAGTGAGAATATGTGAGAGAAACAGCTCTGCAGACCCCAAGGTCAGCGCAGAAGGAGGGCAGGAGGTGTTCCAGGTACAAGAGCAGAGGTTCCCTTGCAGTCTGTGGTGCAGACCATGGTGAGGCAGGCTGCGCCCCTGCAGCCCATGTTGGGCCACGGTGGAGAACATATCCTGCAGCCTGTGGAGGACCCTACACTGGAGCAGGGGGTTGCCCGAAGGAGGCTGTGACCCTGTGGGAAGCCCACACTGGAGCAGGCTCCTGGCAGGACCTGTGACTCCTTGGAGAGAGAAGCCCATGCTGGAGCAGATTTGGGGTCAGGATATGTAACCCCGTGAGGGACCCAGACTGGAGCAGTCTGTTGCTGAGGGCTGCACCCCATGGAATGGACCCACACTGGAGCAGTGCATGAAGAACTGCAGCCCATGGGAGAGACTCACATTGGAGAACCTCCTGCACCAGTGGGGGGGAGGAGGTAGAAAATTCAGGAGTAAAGTTAAGCCTGAGAAAAAAGGACACAGGGGGAAGACAAGGCGTTTTAAGATTTGGTTTTGTTACTCATTTTCCTACTCTGATTTGATTGGTAATAAATTCATTTCTCCAGCTGATTCAGTTTTGCTCATGATGGTAACTGCTGAGTGACTTCTTCCCGTCTTCTTGCCTATGAGCCTTTTGCTGCATTCTCTATGCCCTATCCAGCTGAGGAGGGGAGTGACAGAGCAGCTCTGGTGGGCACCTGGTGTCCAGCCAGGGTCAGCCCACCACGATTATTCTGAAGTGCACATGTATACAAACCCACCAAAGAAACAGTAAGACCACTCAGTGAAGAATCTTTGCTGGGAGCCGCTTAAGTCATTAGACAGGTAGGCTACAACACAAGAAAAAGCCTGAACGTGTATCCAATATCTTCCAAGAGTCCAGAAAAGAAAGCCCAAAGCAAGGCAGGCAAGCCAGGGAACTGCTGTCAATTATCAGCTCTGCCTCCCAGATTTAACTGGTGGATGCAACATTTGAACTCAGTAAGTTACAGGTGCAGTGTTGACAAGCAACTGCCCGCTCCCAGTCAAGTAGCACATTTCCACTAGCAGGAACAGCTACTGATTCTCAGGCAACGCAATATAAGCCTCTAAAAAAATCCCCAATTTTGAAAAATAGGGATAAAAAAATCCACTTAATACCCTACAGCAATAAAACACGGCATCAAAATATTTTTTTTACTGCCTCAATACAAACGAGAATTACCTCTAGGCAAAGCTGAAGCTTGATCTTCAGTGACAAAACAACCCTTGGAGGCTTCCAGAAAAGAGAGGTTATTTTGTGCATTTGTTTAGTGTGAGAATACAGTAGGAAATAAATTGGGGGGGGGGGGGGGGGGGGGGGGGAACCAAAAGCCCAAACCAAAATTAGAGTCAGCAAAGACAGTACTTCAAGGATACTGAATACCCCTTTGATCTTTAATTTCCAATTTCATAGCAAGGAGGTTACTCTTGGAGTTCATCATAGGCTCCCCAACCCCAGGTTTTAAACAGATAAGGCAGAGGAAGCCTGTCCAAGGACCAGGCTCCCTGAGGCTATGAGGGATGCCTTCAGGCAGCTGCTCACAGGCCAAGTGAAAGGAAGCGGAAGCACCCTCCTCAGCCTTAAGGGTGTCACCCCTGCCGTCCTCTGGCAAGTGGAGGAGAGGTAAAGTAAAAGAGAAGTGGTGGTGGTGAAATAGTAATTGCAGCTTTTTTTTTTTTTTTTTTTTTTTTTTTACACTCTTTGAAGAGGTAATCGGAGCCTCTAAAGTTTCCGAGGCATCACGTTGCCCTCTAGCGGCGGCAGTTTACATTTTCTTCAAGTAACGCAACAAACCAGAAATGACAAACCAACATTGTACACGTATTTGTATATGTACAAAACTCCAGGCATGCTGCACTCAAAGACTCGTGACCAAAAAAAAAAAAAAAAAAAAAAGACCTCTGTGTCTGGAGTCCTGTGCAAATGGTTTAAATAAAGTCCCTATCACACATGATTTGACACCATGTAAATGATCCGCCACAAATTGCCATCCATATTCCTCAGTGCACCTACTCCCTGCTCCCTGCTCTGTACCTTTTGGTAAGGCTGGTCAATATGACTAATCAAAAATCCAGCCAGCTCAGGAATAAATGGCCGACATGAAGATTAGTTCAAAAGTTCTCCTTCCCTAACTTTGTACTTGGTGACGATACCCATACAGGAATCACAGTGAGTTGAAAACTTTGGTTGTCTGTGGCACACTTGTCTTGTGCCAGTGGCAGTATAATGTTGCTTAGAAGGTCCTTTCACTACCACCAGAACAACATGCAGAACACTTCACAGATGTGGCTTCACAACTTACGCACATACCTCTTCCCTCTTGTGTTTCTCCTCCTTTGAGATGTTATCTGCAGGAGCAATGTCTCCAACAATGCATTCAGCCATATCGTGGACCAAAGCTAATCGTATGCATCTGGCAAGAAGCAAAGACAGAATAAACAGGTTTTTAGCATTTGAAGTTACATCTTGTTATTCATTAAGCTAAGAGACTACATAATTTATCCCCTTCAAGTATTTTGCAGGTTATTTGTATTTTGTGGGCCTTTTGTGGAGGTTGCTTTGGGTTTTTTTTAAACTTTACATAAGTTTTTCATTTCTTTTCTAAGAGAGTTTCCATCTAGACATGATTGTAATTCTTCATTTCTAGCTACTGCTGCTTGTAAATGCAGATTCAAGTATAAATACCCTTTGTACAAGAGCATAGCATTCAAAAGTAATGTACTTAGCTTCTGCATGTTTGGCTTTCAGAGATATTAGGATGACTAACTATATTATATACTTCTTATTACTCCTGCAACATGTAGAAGGTAATCTGATTGGAGTCATCCCAAATTCAGATTAAAATCTGACACTCACAGCTCTAGCTATGCCAGTGTGCAGCAGAATACTCACAACAGTATTCAGTTCAGCTTCAGAAGGGACAAATTAAGTGTGATCCCATACTAGACAACTCATTCGACAATGATCATTCTTTGCTACGCTAGATAATTGCTCAGGCTTCTTACTGCTGTTAAAATCCACACAATATACAGCTTTACCTTTGCTGTCTGTTGCTTCAAGCTGTGGTTTAACTGTCTTCAGCTCGCTTACTTACAGCTTGAGAGAACGCCAGCCCAGAGCCTCTGCACTAAAACTTGCCTCAGCATAGCAGTCTGGCAATAAAAGTTTTTAGCCTCTTTCAGCTCTCCAGGTAAACAGCACCCTTTCCAACAGAGGGAGGAAAGAGAAGAGGGGAAAGGATTTTAAATTCCTCCAGTACGGTTTAAAAGCCCTTCCTCAGGATGAAGCTATTTTTATCATTTCGGTTGCAGCTTGTCCACAATATTAACATGTGGTCACAATAACCACAGGCAATCTCACCTGTCTTTGTTAAGGCATTTATCTTCAGTCACCAACGCCATCATCGCCATTCTGTACATATGATCGGATACACTCTCTGGCTTTGCCACGTTCCTGTACACCCATCCCGTCCGCGGTACTCTCTGCATAAGGAGAGCGTCACAGGAACATGAACGTTAAAGCTCAGGTTTTGGCGATCTCACCTCAGGGACACCGGCAGAACTCTTGCCCCACCATAACCTCCATGCTCCAGCGAGCCCTGACGCTTTCCGGAAACACCTGCCCAAAGACCGGGCTCCCCCGAGGCTATGAGAGGACGCCTTTACACAGCCGCTCACAGGCGAGGCGAAGGCACCAGCACTACCGCTACCAGCAGCGGATGCCCTCGTCAGCCTCACGGAGATCCCCCGAAGCGCCGAGCCACCCTTGCCCTCCTCCGGCCGGCACCCACGTCTCCCCTGGCAGCCCCAGCACCGGGGCCAGCAGTCCCCGCTTCACAGGCTCCGCCACTCCCGCCACCCACACCCCGAAGGCCCCGGCCCTCCGCCGGCCACGCCGCTACCCGGCCCCGAAGGCCGCGCGCCACCGACCACCCGTGCCCCCGCTCCTACACCGGTGACAGCTGGGGAAAGCCGCCCCGCGGACAGCTACCGCAGCGCCCGGCCCCGAAGCCCCGCGCTCACCTTGAGCTGCCCCAGCAGCCGCAGGAAGGGCAGCAAGCCGCCGCCACTCGCCCCCGCCGCCATGCAGCCGCTACCACGGCCCGCTCCTCCCCCGGCAGGCCCGGGCGGGCGGCAGCTCTGGGCGGTGCTGGTGAACGGAAGGGGAAGAGATGGCGGGGCGAGCAGGGTAGAGTAGCGCACCGCGCAGCTGGAGCTTCCTGTGGCTGTTGGAGGAGAGGGTGTTTATAGGTACCGGGTGCGTGGCGGAGCCGTATTCTGAGCGCTCTGGCTCTTCAGGGATAAGTAATGCTGTAGTAAGAATGGCTCGGGTTGCTATCGTAACGAGACAAGCATCAAGAGAAACCAGGAGAAGGAGAATGGGGAAAAAAAAAAAGGGGAAAGGGGAAAGGAAGAGAAGGGCTGGGTAAGGAAGTGGTGTGACTTCTCCCGGGGTGCAGAAGAAAAGGGGGAGAAGTCCCTAGTGTGAGGGAGGGGAAGGAGGTCAGATAGGCAGGAATAGCTCGTACTTTAGTCAAAACTGATCATATCCACAGCCTTTAGCGTACTTAAAAACCCTCAAGCAAACCCAACAATGGTAAATAGTGCAAGCTCACATAATTATTCAGAGATGAGGTGTTAGTAATTGGAGTTGCTGCACTCGAGTTTTAAATTACTTTGGACTCTGGCTACAGACACTTCCATCACTTTTACAAGTGGAGTAACACACTGAATTACTTTACAGTCGGTGAACTTTCAAAATGCGTTGCATTTCTTTGCTATTTTTATATTGCTAATAGATTGAAACCTTTGTGTTCAGGAAAGAACATCTGCAGTTTGGCCGATAACCAACAGATGGCAGAGTATTTTTATTTTTGCCCGTGTGCATACTCAGACATGCTCCCAAATTAATAATAAAGCCCATACAACATTTTGGTGACCATTTTAAGGCCATCTTCCTGCAATAAACAAGAATCATAGACTAGGAAGGTCATCAAATTTACATTTGTGCACAATCATGAACAGATTGGTGGGAAAGGACGTCTGGATGTTGCACAGTCCAGCAGTTTCACCTTCACAGCTCTTGCAACCATCCGAAATAAGAATCTCATAGTTTGTCCAGGCTAGCAACCTTCCAAGTAAATAATTTGTTTCATAGTGTCCTCTTTGGACCTCCTGAGCCACTTCTGCCCGTGGTTTTCTGTTGTGTTGCCTGCCACTACCAGGGAGATTTTAGCTCTGTCATAGTTGTAAACCCCCTTCAAGTAGCTGTAGGCAGTTGTTATGTGACCCCTTACAATGCATCTAGCAGCCATCTCCTTCATGCCGTATTTCCTCAGTTTGTGAGTGAAAGTGCTATGGAAAATTACTGAAGTCAGGATCTGTTGTGTCTGCTTCTCCCTCACTGTCTGCCTAGCCAGCCCCTTCATTGTAGAATGCAATCAGAGTAGCCAAGTGTGATTTATCCTTCATAAATCCATGCCAGCTGTTCTTGATTGCTTTCTTGTCCTTTACAGGTCTCTTTCTAAAAGAGCTTCACCAACATTCTGTATCTTGCAGTCTCTGTGGCTGCAGACTGAATCTTTCTGGTTTTCTGAATGGCAGTCAAATATCTTCTGAATTCAGACAATCATGAAAGTAAGGGTAATTTAATAATTTGAATTTAAGTTAGATGCTGTATCTAGTTCAGGAATGCTGTTTTTAAGGCTAGCTGTTAACAGATGCTTTGTCTTTTAACCCTTCCTGAATCTATTCAATATACATGTTTAGTATTCATAGCCCATTGAATCAGTTTGCTTTTGCAAATTTTTAATTATTCTTTAATGTGGATGAGTCATGTACAACACATGTGAGGAGGCATGATTTTCAATTTTATTGTGCGACTTCTATGCCACTGGTGTCCTTTAGATATGTTTCTAGAACATCTAGTTTCTTAGTCCTTAAGATATGCTTCTTTGATGACATAAAGATGCTGGGCTCGCAGGCCCTGACCTTGGGCATCCATTTAGTTTAGAGCCTGCTGTCAGAAGCAGCACACCCTCACTCTCAGATTGCTTTTGTAATGCACTTAGTATCTGTGCTTCATTTGAATACTTTGGAGCTGTGAATTTGCTTGAGACCTGAAGTTTCCCATGGTGTTCAGAAGAACAGAAAACTGCTGGGTAGCAGGATGGTAACAACATCATGTAGCATCGTAGTGGAGAATAATTTCTCAGGTATCAGCTGTACATAATGTCTTGTTTTTTTTCATCACAGATTTCTTTAAAAGTGTACACAAACATATGTACCATTTTTGTGGGATAAAATGTATATGAAATACACATGTAAATAATCCAACCACTGCAATTATTTGGTATTTGTATTTATGTAACTTTTGACTGTATGTAAATTTTGTCATACAATATTTTGTATTACTAGTATTTGTGCATTTAAATGTATTTTTGTAATATTTGTGTAGTGAGGGGGTTGTAAATTTTGTAGTATTTGTATGTATATGACTCTTCTGCATGCACTGTGTATGCTATTTTTACACATTGCTTATTTATGCTAGTTTTCTACCCAGTCATTCTGGGACAGTTGTAGAGGTGTCATTTATGAGCTTTTCCAAGCACTTATCAAATGCACCACAGGTAGCATTACATCCATAGACTTTCTGTAGGATAGAGGACCATGATGTAGTACAAATTTTAGCTTTGTTAAGTTCTGATGTGATTTTATTCTTGACTAAGTAGCCTGAAACCAGAAACAAATTCGGGATGCTCAGCTCCTTGCAATTTTAAGCAGCTTTTTTATTCCGAAATTTCAGCAAGGATTTGCACAGTGGCCCTACAGGATATTAAGATAGTGTTAAGGCTTAATTCTCAATCCTTCATAATCCTGAGGGTTTTTTTTTCCTCCATCTTTTGCCCTAACACATGGCAATTCCAAAGGAGAAATACCTAGTTGGTTGTTACCACAGAGTAATTATTATTTGGTAGCTGGAGGTGGCGCTGTCTGTCCACAAATTTCTGCTTCGACCCCGTTAGCTGCCGCCCAATGCCAGGCTTAGATTACTCTTCCATTTGTTTAAGGAATAGCGCTGGGGAAAGGGGAATGCTTTACACACTTGGCACGGTAATATGAAAATCGTCTCTAAAAATGCCAGACGACTGGGGAGAGGCCCATGAACTGCTCATGAGGTGGATCTTAATCAGCTTGTGGTTTTTGTAATGCAACGCCAGCAGTAACACATGGGATTTTGAAAACTTCTGTGTTCTGCCAACATGGACACTGCGAACCTTGTGTAGGTAAAATATCTCCAAGAAAAGTAATTAATTGATTGAGTTCATTTGTTAGTATTTGGCAGGGAGGGGAGACGGAGGGAGGAAGGGGGAGAAAATAAAAAGGTGGCATAGTTCCCTGGATGTAGCAAAATGATTTTGTATCACAGACCCAAGAGTCAGCAACAACAGCCCTGAAGGCCTCGTTAAGAGCAAAAAGATTGAAAAGCACCTGTCAGACACTGTAAGATCATTTTAGTTCTCCAGACTGTATTATACCTTCCTTTACCTGTGATGATATTAGCAATGATGTAGAAGTACCTAGTGAAAATCTGTTGCAAGAATCCTCAGCAGTGGTACAGAGAAGATCAAACAAGCAAACCACTGAAGTGACAGGCATGTGTGTGCTGTGTGCCTCTCTACTGCCTGCCACACATTGCGCAGATGCTGGACTGTGTGTCCCGGTGCCCAGGGAGCTCCATGCAGCCCTACAAAGGCTGTCCAAGCACATGAGAGAGGCACAACACACTGATGTTTATGCCAAGGGCTGGAGGTTGTCTCCTGACACTTCCCCTACAGCTCAAGCAGGAAAAGTCATAGGAAGCAGGTTAACATTTATAGTGTTAACTATGGGCTTGTTATTATCTGTAAATATTCACAGACTCATAGAATGGTTTGGGTTGGAAAGGACCTTAAAGCTCATCTAGTTCCAATCCCTCTGCCATTTGCAGGGACACCTTCCACTAGAGCAAGTTGCTCAAAGGCCCATCCAATCTGGCCTTGAACACTGCCAGGGATGGGGCAGCCACAGCTTCTCTTGGCAACCTGTTCCAGTGTCACCACCCTCACATTAAAGAATTCCTTCTTCATACCTAATCTCTAATCTGCCCTCTTTCAGTTTCAAGCCATTACCCCTTGTTCTATCCCTACATGCCCTTGTAAAAATCCCTCTTCAGATTTCTTACAGGCCCCCTTCAAATACTAGAAAACTGCTTTATCTTCAGGCTGAACAACCCCAAATCTCTCAGCCTGTCTTCACAAGACTGGTGCTCCAGCCCTGTCCTGGGTTCAGCAGTAGCAGTCATGTTTCTCCTCCTTGGTAGCTGGTGCAGTGCAGTGTTTTGACTTTCAGCTCGGGAACAGAGCTGATAACAATGATGTTTTGGTTTGGCCAAGGACTTTGTGAGCCTCATGCTCTGCCAGGGAGGAGGGGAAGCCAGGAGGAAGCAGAGACAGGACACCTGACCCAAACTGACCAAAGAGGTATTCCATACCACAGCACGTCATGCCCAGGAGGTAACTGGGAGTTACCCAGAAGGGCTGGGAGACTGCAGGGTTGGAGGAGGTATCGGTCGGAGCTTGGTCGGGCTTGGGGGGCGAGTTATCGGTCAGCGGGTGGTGAGATGTTGTATTCTGTTCCCTTGTTATTTCCTTCATTGGTGGTAGCAGTAGTGATTTGTGTTATACCTTAGTTACTAAACTGTTCTTATCTCAACCCGTGGGAGTTGCATTCTTTTGATTCTCCCCTCCGTCCCTCCGAGAGCAGGGGGAGGGCAAGAAAGGGGGGGAAGTGAGCGAACGAATTACCTGACTGGGTTTAAACCACGACAGTTCTTTTTTTAAAACAGCAGGCAACAGCTTACAATTGAGTTCACTGGCTGTTTTCCCCTAAAATCAAATCCAATCAAATCAAATTAAACCACGACAAGCCCTCTGATCATCTTTGATGGCCCTCTTCAGGACTTGCTCTAACAGGTCCATGTCCTTCTTATGTTGGGGGCTCCAGAGCTGGACACAGTACTCCAGGTGTGGTTTCATAAGAGCAAAATATTTGCCAAATCCAGCCTAGGGGTAATAGAACAACACTTAATTTGTGCTGGCCTTTA